GGTTGTTTTAAGGACATTATCGGACATGCTCTATGGAAGCCATTCTAAAGCAGCCAGGGGTGGATTCTAAATGAGCCAAAAAGCAGAGACAGGACCAATTGTCAAAATTTTGGTGTCGATCATTCGATTTCATCCTGGACACTACAGAAAATGGGATAAAAGTGTTAAAAACCGAACTTCTCCTTTAATGCATTCTAAACTAATTTGTCATGCTTTAGTAAAATGTTTTTGTTTTGTTTTTAATAAAATATGAAACATATTTGAAGAGATTATATTTGTATTTTTTGCATCTTATGTCAATGTTTTGCAATAAACCCTTAAGCTATTTCAAACTAGTGAACTCAAGTTAAATGTCAACTTTTTTAAACTTCATATATTAAAAAGTTAAATAAATGTCCAGCTGCATCTTAAATCTTAATTTCAATTGGATTTAAAAGGTTTAGTTTTGCCACTTTACACAGGACAGATCCTTTGTTACTTTCTTTCCACTTTAAATTGTTCCCCTGATTGTATTTATCTGTTTTAATTGTAAGAACTTGGTTCTACTGATTAATTTTTTTATGGAAACACTTCATGTTTTCTGTTAAAATTGGAGCTTTTAAGATGAGTCTGTTTCTGCCATTTTACTGCCAAATGATTCTACCCTACAAAATCTTCAGATGATTCAATTGTTTTCTGCAGTTTGAAGTTTCTGATGACTTCCTATGTTCTTCGGGCAATTTCAGCTTTTTTTTCATTCAGCAGAAGCATTTCCACTTGCTGTTTCTCCGAAACAGCTTTTTCTAGTTTTCTCTGCTGTAGCTTTTTGATTGTTATCTATTGGTGATCTTAATGATGTTTGTTCTTGGAGCGTCATGAGGAACACGTGCTGCCAATCCCAGAGCTGATCTCAGACTGTCTCACTGTCTTAGTCAGCCATTCAGCAACGTTGTTATGAGCTCGTTGGTTCCTAATCTCAGAAATGTTGCCATATTCTGAGGCATCATCTCCGCTCACTGAAACAGAAGAAAAAAACTCTTATTTTAAGAAAAAAACATGGATAGCGTTAAGAGTTTGTGAAAACTCAGTGATTAATTCTTCGTCATTTTAAACTTACTGTCTGGAATCATAAAGTCATCTTTGCTATTTGCCACCTCCACAGAGGGCACTGTTGGTTTCTCTGGTTCCTTTGCTAAAGCTTTCATCACTCTCTCCATCAGCTCCTGCTCCCGTCTGTTCCACTCCTCTTCCATCAGCATGCGTTTTTTTCCTAGCTGAGGTAGAAACTGAAATTTCTTTCTTTTTCCTTCAGTCATGAAGCATCCTTTGTTCTGTTTTACCATGTTAATAATTTTTCGGAACAGCTCTTTGACTTGAACAGGATCATTATAATCAAAGTTGTTGAGAACATGGTACCTGTTGCCACACTTCTCCAGAAGCTCCTGGAGCTCCTTGCCCTCTCTGATGATGTAGTTCTCTACAGGGAGGCCATTGAGCCAGTCTCCCCTGGTAAACAGCACCATGCAGTGTCTCCACACTCTCGCTGTTAATGGCATCAGGACCTCCACCAGAGCTTTGAGATCTTTCTCAGTGAAAGCTCTGAAGATTGGAACAACCAGGAGAAAAACATGAGGTC